GGCTCAATATGCTTGTTTGGTCAAACATGAGCGTGGTCGAAAAGTCCATGATGCTAAACCGGCCGACGCTCATAAGCGGTGGTCCCAGCATAATATCGGCCTTGTCCTGTTGTATGACCCCGGTCATACCCGACCACCATGTTTTGTTGCCCAGTATGGGTGAGCCGAAGTTTGATTTGCTGAGTTGAACGTGGTATGAGATGTTTCGCTTATCAAATAGTATTTCCAGTAGACTTCCCATCACTCCCTCAATCTTATACACCCCGGTCTTGTCGACAGTCAACTTTGACATCGGTTCCCACTGTTATCACAATGGATTATAATTGTTATGTTTAATTTAACTTAATTAATATTATGATTAATTTACTATATCTTAAATAAATGCTAATTTACTTACGTTATGTGCAATAATCCTTAAGATCATTATTTTATTTTATTAATGTTAGTAGAGTTATAATGAGTAAATTCAATTTAAAAATTTAATAATTATATTTAAAATAGTTTAATCATGTAAATAAATGATGATTACATCACTTTTATTAATATATTTCACATATTTGATAATCCATGTGTAAAATAATTTAATTCACATAGTATTGATTTAACTGTACTTGTAATTTATGTTTTAATTTTATTACAAATGTAAAAGAATACGCTAATATATTACTTGGAAGATGTGAATATAAACTTTGTATTGTAACAAAATGTTTCTAAATCAAACTTTAACACGGTGTAATTAGTATAATCAGGCAAATCGGTCAATTACATCAATAATTTTATAATATATTTATAACAGCATAGTATAATATAACACCAGGTTCAATCTATGCATATATACATTCAAGTTCGTGTCAATAAATCTCTTATAAAAATTGCTAATATATTCTGTGAGAAAATAAACACATAATAAATGTATTTTTATAGATCACAACAATAATTGAAAATATTTACTGTATTAATATATATAAAACGTTTAATAACATTAATATTATAATTATATTTAATGTTTGTATCATTTAGTAGGCAATCGATGGCATAATAATTATATGTTAGACACAATTGATTGAAGAGTTAAACACTTAAATCTAGTTTAAAACATTTAATGTACATTTATTGTATGGCCATTCACACAAAGTATAAGCAAAATATATTGGATTTAATGTAGATGTTTGTTGATTAATCATTTGATTGAAACAAATGTACATTACAGTAGTTGTTTGCAGAATAATAGGTTTTTATTATTATTATTACAAAATGTCCTAGTACTGGATTGCGAGATGTTGATCATTAAATACCAAATATAAATGTTAATTAATGTTTTCATGGTAAAATAGATTACTATTTCAACGGTAACCTATAAAAACTCATTTGCACTCTATTGACAACTACTCTCTTTATTTCATTTGTTAATATTTAACAAAAACATATAATAATTCAATAATAATTCAAAATTAAATACATTGCTAATAATGTTAGCATTTCAAACAAGTTAAAACTAAACACAAGTTTCTGTTTGACACTACTGACTTAATTCAAGTCTAACGTTAGGTCCAAAGTTAAATATTTTAATAGTAAATGAATGCAAATTTTATTGATTACTTGTTAAAGTTATTTTGCATTGAGATTACAAGATCTTTAACATAAAGTTTATATTAAGTTATAAACATTATTTCATAACTATTGTTTGATGGCCGACAATATGTGAAATCATATTATTAATGCTTTACTAGGAATACATTTAGAAGTCATTTAAACAAAAATAAATTTCAGTTATTAATAGTAATAATAATTTATTATCTTATATACATTTATATCAATAGAGAAATAATTATATTTTAACTTGTAACGATCAAATTGTATTTCAGATATTGTACTTATTAAATGAGAGTGTGTGTACAAGAACAAATGTAAAGTTATATAATATATATAAACTAACTTGATTTTTGATAATTACCTAGGCAAATTTGTATAACATTTGCATTTTAATTATATTCTATAATAATTGTTTAGATTTATTTTTATTGTCGAAAATCTTATAATCTAATAATCATTAATGCTTTGAATGTTTAGTATTTAAATCTTATAATAATGTGAATACTAATAACATATTTATATGTTATTTATTGATTAATCATTTAATTAATACCCGATAAAAGTGATGATAACAATTCAATGAACATTATTTAGTCGATTGTAGACCCAATTCCATCACATATAGTATTATTTTAGATTTAAAATCAAATTGAAATTATAGAAATTAAAACAATTATATTATTAAACATTACACAATTTAATAAACATAAAATCTACAAACTTATAAAGGTATTAGGCGTTCATTCAACCAATTTTTCAAATAACACGTTGAATTACAAAATAGGGGGAAAATCTGTTAAAAATTAAATCTTAAAAAATATGTTTTTATTCATTACTAATGTCATTATTAAATGGTAAACACTTTACCGAAGAAATTAAAAAAATATTTGAAAATTTTTAATTAGAGGTATAAAAACAATATATTGAGCAAAAAATAGGCTCATTTTTTCATACAAGTCGATAGAGAGGTATAGTAACAAAACATGAAGATCTGGTTCACAATATTAACCATTGTATTAACGGCTGGACTGATACGGGCCGGAGATGTGCTCTCTTTCGACGACTACTCCGCAAAATTGGGCGAATTTGAGACCGAATTACAACACCTGACACATCAAACCCGATCAGTGGTCAACCGGACCGAAGAGGTGATGCGGGGATCGGGCGGCGGAACCCCTGCCCAGCCGTGGCCGGCGAAGACTCCCTTCTATCTCAACCATCAGGCGGTGATCGACGAGTGTGTGTGGAATGCGTTGCAAAACCTACGGTTCCTATTGGTGGTGGTGTCCACCTTCTTGGCCCAGTGGCAGACCTATACCCCCATCATCGCCGGCGACCTGACTCTGTCCCAGTTCTGGAACCAGTACTTCCTGTCGGCCAACTCGCCATTCGCACAGATTGTGTCCATATTAAACCGAATGATCTACATCTTGAACAATTATTGGGCCAATTATATTTCGCTCAAACCATAATTTTTTAATTTTTGTATATCATGTTAATTTATAACTATTAAAAGTTTTTTCTCCACCCTAATCATTTACGATTGATTTTTGTTTTTTGTGTTTATTTTATTTTTTAGAATTATATAAAATGGTGCATTTCAATGTAGGTATTTTTTGTAGCAATGATTAATGTACTATACTTTAACATTTTGTGTTTCCCCGGTGTTGTCAACGCATTTACAAATAGCAATAAATATTTATTTATTAATCGTTTGCATTTATTTATACCAAGAATTTACATGAATTAACATTAGATTTAATGTCAGTATATGTTATGGAAATATTAATTTTATTTAATGGTTTACGGTATCACGTATTTTAAACATGGTAATAAAATATAAAGTACAGTACTTCTGGTGGTTGTTTGAATCATATATAATATTTTATGTATTTATGATCTATACTATACTGTATTATTAAAATAATTAAATAGTATTTAAATATCTTATTTAAATTACTATAAGTAATAATGAAATGTATTGTCATATTTGGTTATAATATTAATAATTATTTAATCAAAATTAAAGGTCAGTCAACCGACGGGCAAATATTATTTTACTAAAACTTAATGACATTAGAAAATAAAATTGAAAAAATATATTAAATTTTATTACTTAACACATAAGTAATTAAAAAAAACAAAAATCTGTTTAAAAACTATTGAAAACTGTGTTGAAAAAAACTCGCGAAACATTTGACAATTAAATTACATATTTATTGTGGTATAAAAACTATATGTAATGCAAAAAATCAGTCTATTTTTCACTTAACTTCACATTAAAAACCACACAAATTCAGTCATGAATTTGATAGCAAATACAGTAACCATTGCCGTAATGGTAGGGCTGGTGCGGTCGGTGGACGTGATGGCGGCCGACGGCCCGGCGTCCATAGTGTTGGACAACTCCAGAATCAACGCCCAGTTATACTCATACCTGGGATCATATGGAGTGGTGCCCAACGACACGGAAGGGGGCCGTTGGGGAGGCGGCGCGTGGTCTGAGCCCGGCTTCCCGGGCGACTCGCCGGGCGGCGTCAACACCGCGCCGGGCAGTCCCATCGCCGTCACCGTACAGATCACGATCCAAACGCTGAACCTCTTCCTACCGGTGCTGACGAATATATGCCAATCGTTTGGTTCGTGCGCCGGACTCGTCGGCCCGGAGGCCTATTTGGGCCGATTCTGGTCGCTATTTCTGGCGCCCGGCGCTAATCCCATCTCCATATTCCAGACGGCCGTTCAGGACGCCATCAATGAGCTCAGGGCATACGCAGCGAGCCATGGTATTGGCCTCGTCGTGGGACAGGGATCAGGGTCACTCTACTAAACCCATCAAGATCATGTAAAACTTGTTTTTTATAATAAAATTAATTTATATTATAACTATACTAATTATAACATCATATATTTCTAAACGCGTTGAAACCCTGTTTAGAAATAATACATTTATTTAATTTTTGTTGTAAATAAATTAAAAGTGATTAAAATAATTAATTAAAACAAAATTACCTTAAAATTAAGCCAAATAAAAGTTTTCAATAGTTAGTAACATTGAGTGCCTATATATATAGATGGCTGTAGTGTTGGTATACTTTAGGCTTACGTTTGCGATACAGTGAGCGCATTATGAAATGCAAATGCAATGTTTACGGTAACCATAGCGACCAACAGATACAACACACCGTAAATACATGTCAACACTCACTGTATTTGTTAATTGTTTTAAACCACGTTTTGTTTGCCATTAAAACTTTTAAATAGTGTTTAAAATACTTTATAAATACATATAAATAATGACAAAATTGCAACAATGGCTATGTCTTGGGCTGGCGTTCGCCGCCGTATGGGTGCCAACACTCATGGGTTGGACAGCGGTTCCCGTCTTAAGCAACCCCACCATCAGATGTCACGTGTGGTTAACGCCCGTCTATTTGGTGCTGGTTTTTGGTGCCGTTTCGGCGGCGATTGTCTTATACCGTGTCTTCACATTCAACGACTGTCCCGACGCTCACCGCGAGCTCAAGAGACAGATCACCGAAGCCACTGATGATCTCCGGAGGAAGGGATTCAAGTTTGATGATTGACATCAATAGACAATGCATTTGGTGTTCAATGCGTTTTGTGTCTGTATTTTGCCATAAGTTATGATTATTTTTTAATATTTATTTTATTAATAAATTTGTTTTAAATTTTTTTGTCACTAAATATTTGTTTATTTTATTAGAGGTTTGATTTCGAGAGAGAGAGAGAGAGAGAGAGAGAGAGAGAGAGAGAGAGAGAGAGAGAGAGTNGAGAGAGAGAGAGAGAGAGAGAGAGAGAGAGATTGTGTGGACCACATAAATACCCCGATTATCTATTTTGGACAACGAATACCATTGAAACACATGTTATGATTAATAGCGATAATGTATTATTTATGGCAAATACAGTCTATACTCGTTATACGGTACAGAAAGTGGAATTTGTAAATTAAATACATGCTACAAATAGTGACAGACAATAGTTTAATATTCCTCATGACCACCAGTACCACAATTAGTTTCACAAATATTTTCATGTCATTTAACTTAACAAAATATTTACCAAAAAATGCTATGTATTACCATAATATTATTTAATAATGGTTAAACAGCCTGAGTCACTAGAACCTTGATAAGATATTTATTCTGGTAAACAGTAAACATGATTATTTGCCATTTGTAAGTTAGACAGACTAGACCATTCAAATATTGCTACGACCATGTGGGTTATTTTAAGTATAGTCTAGTCTACGGTTCAGTAAACCAATGATTACGAGCGAAAAAATCCCGACAATAAAATTGTTTGTAATTATAATTTTATATATTTCTCTCTCAACGAGTGTTTAATTTGAGGGAAAAGTTTGTGTTTGTGTCGAAAAGTTAGAGAGAAAACTGGTTTAAAGTAAACGAAAAACTTTTTATAATTACTTCAAACAAACACTTATTTAACAACTATTTCTCGTAGAGAAAAATAGTCACTCAAAATGAATGTCAGTCTTGAGACAAGTTTTGTTTTTATACTATTTGTTTCGGTGTTAAGTGTCGGCCAATGTGTGGCCAAATCGGACGCAAATAGTATTAGTGTCCGAATCGGTGGCAACGAGTATATCGGCGCCGAGAAAGTGGTTTTGGATCAGACTATCGGCGCCTTTACGGGCATTCCGTACGCGAAACCACCCCTAAGGGAGCTTCGGTTCCGGAAGCCATTGCCGATCGGCACGAGTGGTGTGATTGCGGCCAACGAGTGGCCCGACGCGTGTCCGCAGTCGGACCTGAGTCTCAAACAGAGCGAAGACTGTCTCAAACTGAACGTATGGACGACAGACACGACCGCATCCAAGCCGGTGATGGTATGGCTTCACGGCGGAGGCTTCACGTGGGGCGCCGGCCATACGGGGGAAGTGTTGTCGGCGGCCACAGACGTAGTGGTGGTCACCATTAACTACCGGTTGGGAGCGCTCGGGTTTCTGCGCGCCGATCGCGAGGACGCGCCCGGAAATCAGGGTCTCTGGGATCAGACGCTGGCGCTCGAGTGGGTGAACGACAATATCCGGTACTTCGGCGGCGACGACAAACGGATCACACTATTCGGCTTCAGCGCCGGCAGTCGTTCAATAAGTATGCATTTGTTGAGCCAACACTCGCGACACCTGTTCCGCAACGCCATAATGATGTCCGGATCGGCTCTTTCGCTGCTCAGCAACTCAGACAAGACGTACGTCCGCGACGTGTATTTAAAACTGGCCAAAGCTGTCGGCTGTCAACCCGTGTCGACCACTTTTACCGACGACGTGATGAAGTGTTTGCGAGACATCCCACCGGAACGGCTGGTGTCCGCTCAACACTCGCCCGAAGTGCTTGACTCGGAGTTCGCGTTCTTCCCGAACATTATTTTTGGCGACGAGTTTATGGCCGACAGTCCGCTGACCGCTGTTTCCCATAAGGAGACCAAAAAGAAGATCAATTTACTGTTGGGCACCACCGATGACGAGGGAAGTTGGATATTGAATAGGATTAGTGGCGAGAAATTCACAAAACCTTTGACAAAAACCGATGCCATCCGTCAAATGCAGGCCATATACGATGACCTCAAACTTGAGTCTCCAATTGATGGCCAATCGATCGCAAAGTTTTATTTGGAGACAATCCCCGAAGAGGCGAATCCGGATGTTTGGTTGAAGACAACGGGCGTATCGTTGGGTGACTTCTTCATCACGTGTCCGGCGCTTAAGTTTGCCGAAACTCTACACCAATCGGATCCCAAACACAATAAGATATACGGTTATTATTGGTCTAGTAAAGGGTCGGGCAAACTGTGCACCGAGTGGGCCGGTGCCTGTCACGGCTCAGATGTCGGCCCAGCCCTCGGCTATCCATTCCTGTCCACGAAGAGCACTAACGCCCAGCGAGAGTTGTCAATGCATTTTATGAAAACTATCGCACATTTTGCTCAACACGAGTGAGTAGTAGTACTTCTGTACATGTTTTGCATTTATTTAGGTTTAGTTATTATTTTTTAATTAATGAATGTTTTTTGTCTGTTTTTTTACACAACAGCCGTCCTCTGGCACAGGAAGGCATACAATGGCCTCATTATTACGATATCGACGGCCTAACTATTGCCCCGTTTTATGAATTTTCCGGCCATTTGTCCCATAATGTGACCAATTTTGGAGTCGGACTCAAACACATTATTTGTCATCAAATATTTAATAAATATTATAATAATTAAGTTTTAAATCCAATTGAATTAGTATAATATATTGATATAATACGATTATGGTCGCAGAAATATTATGAGATTAAAATTTACTATTACATAACTGTGGCTAGATCAAAGTCTTAGCGTTTACCACAACCTTGTTTGTGAATTACCGTATTGTGTAAAAATTGTTAATTAAATGTAATATTTATATTTTATTAATTATACAATAGACGTGTCACTTAATATTTAGCCTAAATTGATTATAGGTATCGGTTTATAGGGCCGTATTGTCATGGGTTTGGCGGGTCGGGCGGTGGGCACTCCGATGCCGGGCACCCGCGAGTTTCTGAGTCCGGGTCTGTAGTCCAAAATGAATTTTCCGGTGCAAAACACTTCGCAACCGCCGCCGCCAGTGATCCTTAGCGTCGACGTCGGCGACTCGATGTGTGTCAGGCCTTTGGGTGTGGAGCAGGACATGGGCTCACGCGAGCGGAACCAATGCGTGAGCACCACTTTACCCGACTTACACACCGGGCCCTCAATCGGACCGCTTTGTGTCGCTATTTGTTCGCCTGATTTATGTACAAAAAAATATATGTCAATTATGTTTAGTCCCATAACCTCTTCCCCCCACTCCCGGGCCCTACCGTTTACGTAAAGCGACACAGTTTTTAGGTCCTTGACGACGATTGGCTGCTTTTTGCCGTTAGTGGTGGTCACGTTGAACATATACTTCTGGATCAGACTCTTAAGGCCGGTGCACGGGATGAACGTTTGGCTTAAATTGAATTTTCCGGTCACCTCTTTGGCGGAGAGGCCGGACGTCGGGTGGCATTTGAAATCAGCGGTGACCGTCGTGTTGGTCGTCGTACCGCTTAACACACCTGATAATTGATTACCAATTTTGTGTATCTTATATACGGGTATATATACTGTATATCACATGACAACTCACTGATAGCCACTTCGAGGGGCGGCCCGTTTGGTGGTGTTGGGGGTCCGTATGCGGCATCGGTTTGACATAAAACTAACGATATTACGAGTGCCACAAGTGTTATGATGTTATCATTCATAGTCTTCACTGGTATTTCGACCACAAAAACAATAAACCCGACAAAAATGTGATCAAAAAAGTGTTTTTTATATATAAATTATGTTATTGTGATGAAAATTTTTAGGCGATTTAATTGTAAGCTTTATTATAATTGTATAATTGTGTCGATTTGTGGTTAAAATTGGCAAAATGTAAACTACCAGTGCCTCCAATACACTATTTTACCCACAGCTGCTATTTTGGGACATTTTTTATTTACTAATCAGTTTCGTTATAATCAGTTGTAATTATAATTTTAGTTTTTTTGAATTTATATTTTTTGTGTTTTGCTCACAGAACTGGATCAGTTTGCATAAGTCATTAGCTCCTGGTTATTTTTGTGTATTAGTTTTGTATTTAATCGTATTGTTATTTAGTTTCACATTTGATTAGTTTATTTCCATTATAAATATCAGCCCTTAAAGTGTTGATAAACTTTGAGATAACAAATTAATTAAGCGTTTAGTTAATTAACAAAACGTATTATTTAGACGTTTTAAAAATATCTCTTCACTCAATGCCCTCCCTTTCCCTTCACTAATCAATGGCCTATAAATTGTTTTTACATTTATATTAATAGAAACATGAAATTAGTTTTTCATATTTAATAAATTATTGTTTTTGTTTTGCCGTAAATACTATTTCTATGAGAAAGTAGTTTATAATATCATTTGCAATTGAATGTAGTTTTTATGTTATTTAAAGTTAAATGTATAGTGAAATAGAGTTAAAGTATTAAATTTTGAATTTGTATTCAATACTTTCAGTGTTGCATAACTTATACTGTAATATATTATCAGACAATATAAATGGTATGCAATTTATCAGAAAAAATTGCATTAATTCTTGGCTCAGAAACTCTGAAAAATGGTTTTCTTATATGAAAAATCATTTTTCAAAACTTTTTATTAAATTTATTTTGCATTCAAAAATATTGCTAACTATTACTGACTTTGTTTTTCTGTCAAAACACTCTCTTTGGGATTGTTTTAAAAAGCAATAAATATTGAGAGAAAATATTGCTATCAATACAAAAAACAATTCATTTCGTCATAACATGAGAATTGAAAATAAATTTTTTATTTTTGAAAAGAAATTAATGGAAAATAACTTTATGTTTCTGTTTCATCCCAAACATGGATTGCATGAGAAAATGTATGACAAATTGTATATATTTGGAAATACTGTATGTACTTAAAAGCATACAAAAAACATGTTTGATTAATGTAATTTGTATGTAATTATATTAACGATAAAATTATTTTTAATTTTTGGGCGCCCGCTATAACTCAGCGATTGGTTTCTTACGGATATATGTATTGAATATTTAATTTTCCATAGGATTTATCTAGAATAAAGTTGTGAATCATTCTCTCTCTCTCTCTCTC